TGTACCATTCGTGCTAACTCTCTTGAAACAAGGAAAAGTAGTCTGCCATGATTTTTTGGAGTATTTAGTTCATCAGGGATTGGAAAACAAACCATTCACTCCTTTTCTTATTATTATTCCGCGCCCAGTACCTTGTCTGGAGTCTGACTATGCTGTCGAATGATGTCTTGCGCTCGTTGTGTAAACAGCATAGTTGAGTAGTGACCAGTGTAGTTCCACGCAACATCTTCATTTTCTCTGAAGTCAAATCCATGGTCTATACTGTGGGTATAGTAGTCTTCACTTCCTTGGAGGTAGCCTTTATGGAGTTGTTAGATACAAAAGGGGGTGAAGTTGAGTTTGTTTTATCTTATAGGGTATATTTGATTTAAGGGGGAATTGCGGTGTCATGATCGTCGCTTTAATAATTCACAGTGGCGCACTATTTAAAAGTTATATATAGGCCACACTCTAGCCTGAAGAAGTAAAGACGTGACATTCGATTGTTTGAAAAAAAGTGAAGTTCGTATTATCATCTAAATCAAGTAAACGGTATCAAAACGCAGTTCCATAAGTTGACAAAATCAAATGAGAACCTGCGTAAATTAGTACGTTTTCATCAGAAGTGGACCTTACCAAAGTAACTATCGAATCCGCGACGAGTCGGCCAGCAAGCTCTCTTATAAATCCCGAGATGCCATTTGCCCACAATATGGGTGGCATATCCTAACTCCTTCAGTTTCTGGGCCAAAGTGACGTCATTAAGGGGTAAGCAGTCGGGTTGTTCAAATCCAATAATCCCGTGTTGTAACCCGGTGTGGATCTATCAAACAAGAATACCGGCTGCAACAATTAGACAAGAAAAAAGCAAGCAAGACAACGAGCTGGCATTGGATCAAAACCTGGAAGTGTTTGAACTTTACTCTTTAAAAGCTTTGATGGTTTCGTCCACTCTACGTTACCGTAACCGGTAAATCGTCCCTTTGCACTCTTTTTCGTCAGAAATCAAGACAGTGAGCCAAAATAGTCACAACGTCAACGCCACTAGAAGTAGAAAGGTTGAGAGGTTTTAATCCCAACTAATCAATTTAATAATTAAACACACGTTTTCGAAAAGCTACTTAGCATGTTGAGCCCCATGAAAATTACTTAATTGATGAGCAAACCAAACTTTTCAGTTTATATCTTTTCGACTCAAACCTTGTAACAGATAAGGAGGTCTATGATAGGTGTTCACCTTCAAATACAAAAGGGTTTATGTTTCTGTCTTCTGTTATTTTGCCGTCTGAAACCTACCTGGTATTTTCCACTCATTAGCTGGCTTCTTGTTGGTGTGCAGATGGGCTGAACGTAATAATTCTCTAGTTTCACACCCTCAGCTGCCAACTTGTTCAGGTTGGGCGTTTTGATCTCGGAACCATGGTAACCGATGTCATGGAAACCATAATCATCAGCCAAGATAAAAATGATGTTGGGCGGTTTGCAGTTGATAGGATTGATCACAAGGAAAAGTCCAAGCAAACAGAGAATGGAGAAAGGGAGCTTAGCTTTAGGTTGTCTGATGGTAAACATACCTGCAAAATGCATACACAAAAGTCAATTATTTGGATTAGGATAGACAGAAATGCTAGTCATTAATCTCATAGTGCAGCTAGTTGGACTATAAAGGTTTTGAGACCCCTTTGAGGAGGGGTCTTCGGTTCTCCGAATTGAGAGATGTTACACAAATTGTGACGGTCGCTAAGGGTATTATTGGTTTACTGTTTCGCTATATACATTGTTACACGCTGCGTATTATCATCGCTGGCCCCATCAACTCACCCATACTACTTACAGACCGACTTGAAAATTTCGACCTGATATTTGGATTATTTTGGACCGACTTGACAAATTTCGACCTGATATTTAGATTATTTTGGACCGACTTGACAAATTTCGACCTGATATTTGGATTATTTTGGACCGACTTGAAAATTTCGACCTGATATTTGGATTATTTTGGACCGACTTGACAAATTTCGACCTGATATTTGGATTATTTTCTGATTGTGCTCATATCTGATTCACCGCTGGTCCCACTATGTGTCCTAACGACTTCGCTGCCTCGACCATTACTCTGATTTTCCTCTTACTGACGGATATACATTAGGAGAGTAACTTAGCTATTCAGTATGTTTTTACTGAGCTGACTAGTTTATGTTTGACGTGTTAAGTGATCATAATTTTGTTGAACAAATGGTAGGACGAAGATTTGGCAAGGTGCACCACATGAACAAGGTACTGAATAGGAACTTCATACAAATGTTGACTACACTGGGCTTAACAAAATTAAAAATAAACTTGCAATTATCACGTTTTGTTAAATATGCAGCAAAGCAGATGCTGATGCACACTTCATCTTCAGACTATTTAAAGTAGCATTGACTTGCCAAATCTCTTTGATCGAGCAAAGCTTTTTTTAAACTCGTTTGTGTTCTACGCACGAATAAGGAAGGACACTATATGATCTACGTTGAGACAATATATGATGAAAAAGGTACCCGCGGGGACAGGTCAAATTTGATTTAACCACGTGGGTTTAATTTGCGCGGTCTCCGTTCATTTTGGCCTCTGCAATGCACCGTATGTTTTCATTCCATTGAAACTAATATGACCATTTTCCTCCTTTCCTTGCATATTCTGCAGATGTTCATGCGCATTTTGAAGTATGTTAATATTTCTACGCATGAGGTCAGTGCAAATTGTTGCGAGGATATTTTCTCACTCATCGGAGGATGTCCACATCAGGCAGAAACTCGACTTACAAAAAAAGAAAAACTTGCCATGTTTTTGATTGAATAATAGTTTCATGTTTATTTATTGCCACAATTTTCCTTATGTGAAAATTGGCTGTCGTGATAATTTATTCATTAGCAAAGACAAACGTGAATAGCCACGTATAGATTTTTAAAAATCTTCCATATTATTCGTTGTTAATGTTTGACCATACCAAACAAGAAAATTACTGTAATGGCATTAAGAGAAACTAAAATCACCTGAACTTAAACTGTTTAGGACAAACTAGAAAATATTCGTTAGATATTTAGAGGTGCATGCAAACAATTCCATAACAACTGTTCATCTTACAAAGAACTTTCCGTAATAAATCAGAAGAAAATAATTCATTCTTTCAGAATCCAAATGTTTATCTGTTGCCAATGGTAAATTATATCAAATCTAAATTTACATATATATAAACATATTTATTTACAGGCCTACTCATGAGCTCTCAAAAAGTAATATTTGTGTGGGCCTGCGTGTACAGACATTTTTCATAACATTCAAATTCCAATCTTTGATCGTTACGTCACCAATATATTTGGAGCCTTATACGGCCCAAATAATTTTCAATGATAAATTGAGAAAAACACAAAAGATACAAATATTAAAATCTCCACGCAT